GGGTGATATCTTTAAATCTCAAGCCCTTCAAAGGATTCATGAGATCTCCACCAAGAGTTTACAAAGACCTCACAGTGTGTTTGTGCATCTGTGGTTGTAGCGAGTCCTTGTTACTCTGGTTCTTAATTACACCCCTGACGTTTCGATGACCTGATCTGAAGCATTATGTTGTGAATATACTGAACAACTACAGTTATCATTTCTCATCACTTTACATGTAGACATTTGACAACTACAAGATTTCTGTTAATACACATTTATACTGTAGACGTCATTTCTCTGATTGTCAGTGACTTCATGAGACACGCTGAGCATCAAACTACCTAAAAAGCACAATTCAAACCATAGTTAGGTTTACATATTTGTTTTTCTCCTGCCTGTAGCTTTTCTGTGCATCTAGCCCAGTTTTGAAGAGATGTCAGACTTCTCTTCAATATGTTGAAATTAAAAGTGCCAAAAAACATTTGAAAATTCAGCATCAATGTTTCCAAAAATCATGACCGGGTCATACTACTGAGCAGTTTGATACAGGAAGTTCTTTCTTTGTACGACACTACATCCGATGGTTTCCTCACTCTGCTGGATAAACGCTGCATCTTCCACTGACGAGCAGCTCATGTCAGCTAGCTGCACGCTACTTTCGGTTGGTGGATGAAGTTAGAAAGAAAGTCGTTCCTACAAGAAACTGTTCATAAAAGGTCTGTAGATTTTTTTGAGTACCAAGGTCATGATTTCTGGTTTGTTCAAATGCATTTTCCAGTACTCTGAGCACCACAACATGAGTTGCATTATATTAACGAGAAGGCGGACATCTCTGCAGCCGTCTCCAACCCTGGAAACACCAAGACAGCATTAAAGGGCAGAGGACACAAGTTTCATTTTAGGGGTGAACTGTCCTTTTGTGGCCGAAAAATTTTAAAAATTAAACTTTGCAGAAATTGCCTCTTTTTTTTTTTTAAGTATAAAAAGAAAAAACCCACACAAAAACAATACCACGACAGCTATCAAGTATCTTCCACAAATGCTTTGATATGCTTTCCACTGGAGTATAAATGAGTTAAGCTGCCAGACTAGACTACAAATCTACCTGCTGTGCATAACTGGCAAAAAGCAGTGCATGAAGCCAAAGCTACAAAGTCACACAAACCCCTCAATCTAACAGAGGTCCCAAAATCAGATCCAGGGATTTGCAAAGTCGGTAAAGCTTAGAGGAAAGAAAGAAAATTCAAAGCCCTTATGACCAGCTTTTAGGAGCAACACGGATCGGAGGACAGCTGACGGTCACAAGACTCCCGTATGAAGCATGTGAGCGGGAAAAACAAAAACTGCAGATGTTGCCTCTGAAGGCACATCTGTATTTCTAATCGGTTAAACAGTCATGTCCAAAATCTACTGCAAATAGAAACAGAGCCCATTAATATATACTCTCTATATATGGCACCCAATCTATCAAAAAACAGTACCTTCTGCTGACATTCCCCCAGGTACAAAATAAACCTCTCCCATCATGATTAAACGCACTCAAAGCCAAGAAGCACTTAACCAGACACATTACCCAATAATTCCCTTCTTTCTTTAAACATTCCAAAAACATAATGAATACATTCGTTGGGGAGCGAGCCGTGTACATATATTCATCTCAAGTACTCATTTTCTCTGTGTGCACCACAGCTGCCCGACAGCATCACATAGAAAACATATCATCACCCCGTTTGTTTAAGGCTAAGGTGAAAAAACAAACAAACAAAAAACCCTGAGCTTACATCGCTTTGGCTTTCTCTGGAGACTTTTCCTACAATATTTTATCCATAAATATAGCACAACACTGCTCCAAAAAATGTTTTAGTTGTAAACATTGGCTTTAAATAAAGAATTGATCTGTTTGATGGGAAACAAACATGATTAACAAAGTCCAGAGGAGCCATCCTCCTCTCGCCTGTACGGCTGTTTTCCTGATAGGGTCCACTAGCTGTGCGTGTTGAGTGTTGACAGCCTGGCCATTAAATGTGAAACCCCGTCTCGGATCGAAGCACAAGCCCTGGTCACTGGAGCTGTGTGTGTGTGTGTGTGTTTGCAAGCAGAGCGGAGAACAGCACGAGCAAACAGCAAACAGCAAACATGCAGTAAAATAAGCTGAATATACAAACTTGAAAGCTATATGTGAAAATCCTACGCCCTCAAAGCAAATCTAACCCGCAGAATAATCTGAATACAAAATAAGACACAATCGTATAAAAAAATAAAGACAAACATCCCGACGGTAGAAAAATCATTCTCCCCTGTGGGCTGCAGGAGGTGCTGGGTTCAGGTGAGGTGCTGTCTGGTTTTTACATGATGGAGCAGTTCTCCGGCTTCATGCGGCCCTGAGGAGGAGACGACAGGAATATTTGATTTTTGTTTAACAAAAACAACTATTTGTGTAATTCGACACCAAATGCTTCATTTGCGGTCCTGATGCTTAGAATACAGATTAATAAAGGCGACTTTTTATTGTTAGTGAGTCTTTACGAGGCGTTAAAATGGGAGCTGTGGGGAAAACGAGCGCCGTGTTTCTGGACTGAAATTGTGCAGCTGAACTTTAGAAATGTCCTTTTTTAAAAGCCACATGTCTCAGTTTAAATCCGATTTCGGTTTCGCCTCTTGCTACATTATCTTCTGAAGCTTTTGGTAAATTGGGGGAAACAAATGTTAAAAGTGAAATGAAAGAAGCCGTTTGTTCAGCCCTGAAGTGGTGGAGGACTTGTGTTCATCATTCAGCATGGGTGGGCATTTCCAGGCCTCGAGGGCTGGTGTCCTGCAGGTTTTAGATCTCACCCTGGGTCAGCACACCTGAATCAAATGATGAGTTCATTATCAGGCCTCTGGAGAACTATAAGACATGTTGAGGAGGTCATTTAGCCTTTAAATCAGCTGTGTTGGATCAAGGACATCTAAAACCTGCAGGACACCGGCCCTCGAGGCCTGGAGTTGCCCACCCCTGGTCTAGAGTAACAGAGAGATTGATACAGATTGATGCATGTTCAAAGTCTCCATAAGCTTACTCTGCTCCACCACCAACACCACCTCCTACCTGCATCTAGGATTCTGCTGCTCTGAGCACCATCATGAGCAAATCCACACACATCCTGTTGTTTCTTATCACCTCAGTCTTTGCTGTTTCTGTGATCATCATTTATGTGTTTGCATCTAATAATAATTCCAAGTCTGCAAAGTGAAAAGTAACATTTTTTTTTTGCTCATGTTTGATGTTTGGGAATCTGTCAAAATGCAGCGCAAACCAAAAATTTTCTGCGACTCTAAAATGCACTTTGTATCATAAAACAGTTCTTGGGAAATAGAGAGAGGGAGTATTTGCGATCTTGGATCCCATTTAAACTCCAATTTTGTTGATTAGTAATTAAATTAACTGCAGATGCCGCATGCCAAAAGTCTGTTTCAGATGCTTAAACATCTTACAGTACAGAACTCCAAAACATGTGGAACATCTGGGCATTATTGTGCAACAGGAAACTCTAAATTTATAGATGAATAAGCAAAAAAACCCACACATGTTGTCCGTTTTCTGTGCGTAGTCGCCGCCAACAATTTTAATGACTAATAGAACCAAATATTATACGCTTTGATCCTAAAACACAGTTATTAATGATGCTGTATAATTGCTGCAGGGATGTTTTGACTGTGGAGTACCTGTCTGGGCTCATTGGTGCCCATGAAGTAGGAATGTCCTGGGAGGCCTTCAGCTAGACTGCTGCAACCACCGGCGCGCTCCTTCGGCTGCCCGCAGGAGTCGCACATCACCTTGCGGCTGCGCAGGTTGTACTCGTTGTCTGCGCCGCTTGTGCTGTGAGCTCCCTGCAGAGGGCGGCACACATCAGTTACTCAACTGCTGCTTAACTGCTTAGTGGTCAGGTTACTATAGACTGTATATAAAAGATGGGCAGAGTGTTCAGGTCTGAAAAGTGAAGCTTAAGCCTTAAACCTGCATCCGGTCAGCAGGGGGCGCCTCCTCTGGTCGCAACAGGAAGTCTGATTGTTTTGAGTCTTATTTTATGATCTCGGTATTGTTTATTACATCATTTTTAAAATTAATACAGAATAAAAGAAGGAGGGGTCAAAGGCATGGCAGCTTTGAGTAACATGCTGAACAGAGTAACACAGGAGGAATTTACCATGTCATCATCTTCATCATCGTCATGGAACAGGGTGCGGGTCACTTTCCTCATGGCCATTTCCTGATGGCAAATCAAATAAACTCAAGTCAGACACTGCAGTTAAAAAGAAGAAGAAAACTTTACAATATAAAGTGAGTGAAGTTGGACCTCTCCATTAGCACTGATGAGGGAGGTCTGCAGCAGGTCACCAGTACCCCAAGAGTTCTGGCTCTTCCACACCAGGTCAGTGGGTGGGTTGTGGGTTCCACCACCAGACGCAGCCCAGACCTGTAAAAGTCAAACATCAGAGAATTTGTAAACTGCACTGAACCAGTGAAGGACTGAAAAAGGAAGCAAAAGGAATATCTGCCAGCTATTTTGTGCTTTTTGAGGTGATCATCTCAGTCAAATTTCTACTTGTCTTGATTTTCCTTTGATACATTTACACTCGTTGAAAACTGAAATACAACTTTACTGTTTTGGGGCTTTTATCGATTGTGTTTGCAACAACGACTGCTGGCTGTTCGTAACCATGATGGATTCCACGTGTGTCACCCATTCTGCTCATTTTCAGCTCCATATTTTTATTCTTCAACTCCGCCAGAGAAGCTTTCGACGATTTCCAGCTTAACACGTATTTAATCTCATATTGAGCTTTTTGGTGCAGACCTTCATTTCATGCATGCACCAGTTTGTCCTTTTATCACTTTGTTTTTACTTCATTTATACACAACTGGTCTCTCTAAACTGCTAAAATGTTTGTGAAGGATTAAACAGAAATTCTTGTGTTGACATTCAGTGTTTCCCATCTTTCATTTACAACATTTTGAGCCACTGGCAGGAAAGGTGAGAAGTAATCATCACAACATGACTAAAGCAAAAATGGCACCTTCGCAGCATCATTAGTGTCCAAACATATTCACAGAGTCTCTAAAAAGAGGCAAAGAAAGGAAGAAGGCTTGGTGTAACGTACAGTCACAGTCCCGCCGGCCTTCAGAGTGAACTTGTGGGGAAACTTGTAGATGATTGGGGTTGAATTCCCAACCTGTCTCTTCACTTGCCAATTGCCCAGTGATTGGTCCTGCATAAGAGAAAGTTGGAGAATGATGATTAGGCAGAGTCACAAATAATCCACCTAAAGACACTGGAAATATTTTTTATAGCAGAGGTGAGGAACTCCAGGCCTCGAGGGTCGGCGTCCCGCAGGTTTTAGATGTGTCCGTGATCCAACACTAATCATTTGATTCAGGTGTGTTGACCCAGGGCGAGATCTAAAACCTGCAGGACACCGGCCCTCGAGGCCTGGAGTTCGCCGCCCATTTCGGTGTGCTTGTATAGTAATGCACAATCTCAGCTACCTCATCAGCCTTGTTGCTGAGACGGATGTATCTTCCCTCCATATCAACCTCGTCCACCGTGATGCGTCCACTGGCCGAGGCTTGCTGACTGATGCGAGTCTTGGTCACAGTGTTTCCTGTCACGCTGGAGGTCTCGCTGTCATTGTCGTTGAGGCGGCGCTTCTTTGAGACGCTCATCCCAGAGGAGTTGCGGCTGCTGGAGGCAGCGGCGGCGGAGGAGGAGTGGTGCACCCGGGTGGTCTGAGAGTGGCCTGAGCCAGAGGTCCGCGACACCGTGACTTTTGTGGGTGGAGGACTGGGTGACAGACGCAGCCTGGGGAAAGATGGTGGGAGAGGACACATACGAGGTGAGTGAGTGTGCAAATGCACCTGCTGGTTAAGTGCCAGGATTACATCCTTACTGCTCGGGTACTCCATCAAACCTCATCAGGTTAAAGACAGTCAACAGCCTCGTGTCATAATCGCCATATAATTATATCGCTCACCGATTCTGCACCTTGTTCGCCGTTTGTTTTTTTATGATATTAACAGACTGTGGTACCAACGCCAACAACACCCTGAACTCATATGCTCCCATATCGTCCTTTTTACTTTATATGTTGTAAACTATAAGAAATAAAACTCGTGCCCAACACCATGAAATTATCAGAAAACTGTTTCCTGAGGTCACGGATAAAGTGAGCAGCAGGGTCATTTTCTCAAAAACCTCTATACAGTTTGCCTTGTTTTCATAATCACACATGCTGCCCCCTGCTGGCCATCAGAAATAATACAGATTTTCTACACGTTATTAATGGGTTTTGTTTTTTTATTTCATATTTAGAAAAACTTTGTTTCTGGTGCAAGCTCTTCACATGTGATACAAACGGCTGCAATGAAACAGATTTATTCCAGGATGAAATGCGGCTCTAAACTCTGTCTGTTAGCAGCTCTCCACAAGAGACGCATGTCAAGACATTCAGGTCAGCCCTTCATGAGGAGGAGCCGATGAGCTGTACTGGCTGGATAGCAGTCTGTTACCTACAGCGACATAAAAGCCACATTAATTTTGATTTGTCATTAGAAAAAAAAACAGGCCCAAATCACATTTGAAGAATATCTGAGTTATGCTCTTCAAACTCATGAAAAAGTTTCATGAAAAATCCGAGTCAAATAAGAAAATGAACAATATATAAACTGAACGAAACAAATTGAGCTCTCATGCAGATATTTGTGACTGTAAATATACTTCGGTCAGTCACGTTTCACCGGCGTTGCTGGCTGCACGCCATTAACTTTCTCTTTACCTTAGTTATGTTTTGTCCTGTCTGTCGTCTCTTTGTCCCTTTTTCCTCTTGTGTTTTCTTCTTATCCCAAACAGATGGTAGTTAATTAAAGTCAATTTGGCATTTTTCTTGGTTTTTGTTTACTTTATATATCATGTCACGATGCACCTCACAACGCCCGTACTGAATGCACTGATAAACACGCTTCATATTTATAATAATATTCTACTTGCATGAGTCCTTGTGATATTTGTTTCCTCCGCACAATCAGCCAACAGTCCCACTGGGTGATGAAGTAAGGCTCGCTGTTGGCATTTCAGCTCGACCAAATGCTGCGGTGCGTGGTGAAACCATTTTTTATGGCTCTGACGAGGTGTTTAAGGGCAGGGTTTTAAAATAGAAAGAGTACTTTCCTCAAAGTTAGAAGGACTCTATTTACACCCTCGTTACGCTAAAAAAGAGAAAAAGGAAAAAAGAAAGACAAACAGCCCCAAAGCAAAAGCACCAAAAACAAAATGAACCCAAGACTGGTCCACAGGTGTCCACCTGCAGCATGGCAGTGACTCTAATTGGTTATTTATTACACTGCTTGGAGCACAGAAGTCCTCGCCGAGGTTATGGAGCACTGGGTTCAGTTTTCACTCGTTATCCCCACAAACCAATTTTTCACTGACTTGTTAGTGCTCCCTCTTTTCCCATAACAACTTCTGGCCTTGTGGGCATCTACATGGTTGTAGAGCTGTTTTACAAACAACCTCACCTCTCCTCCTCTCCCTCCAGCAGCTTCCTGTAAGCATGGATCTCCATGTCCAGGGCCAGTTTGATGTCCAGCAGCTCCTGGTACTCATCCAGCTGCTGCTGCATCCGGGCTCGGATCTCGGTGATATCCCGATCTTTGTCCTCCAGCCGTCGCCTCATCAGGTCGCGCTCGCGTGTCAGAGCCTCCTCAAGCTCCCGCGTCTTGGCCTCGCTTGCCGACAGCTGATTCAGAGAGAAGACACACAAAGGACGCCCAGTTACATTTTCACCACTGCTTTGTCTTGGATCCGAGAAATCCACCTGATGGTTAACAATCCACTGACACGCTGCGAGTGGAAGTACCTGTTTCTGCAGCTGGCTCAGCTGGCCTGACAGGCTCTCCATTCGGATCCGGGTCTGCTGCAGCTCTTCGTGGGCAGCTCCCACCAAGCTGCTGTTCCTGTCAGCTGAGTGACGGGCATTTTCCAACTGTCGGGCAGAGAGAAGAGGCAGTCAGCTCCCAGCAGGGCTCAACTACAGCAGAAAAACTACACTGCTTCAGTCTGACCTTCTTAATAAAGCTCGAATGAACAAAGCCAAATAAAGTTATTTCAAAGTAATGGGATGAAGGAGCATTACTTATAAAAGAAACTAAACCACAAGGCCTGCCATAACCACGGTCACAGTAACAGGACAGTTCACCCTTTGGTCTGTAGTGCTTTAAATCCATCTGGGTTCTTTTTGTACGAGTTGCTCAGTTTTGGAAATATCAGCTGTTACAATGTCGACCTTTCCATCTAATGAATCTGAGTAACACTCAACTCGTGGGGCTGAAAAGGTAAAAAGAATGAAGTATAATAAATACGACACACACCCCACAATAATGTAACAACCAAAGAAAATGTGTCTCTTTCCTTCTATCTACCAACATCGACAGTTAAAAGCTCGCCAGCAGAGCCGCCTGATCTGTGCAGGAAGCAAACTGAGCATCTGAAAAAAAACACTCCTACCTCGTGTCACACCTGGAGTTCAAAGCGGATTTTTTCCCTCATAGTGTTGCACTAAAGTAACTGTTACTGACCACATGGATGTTATTTTCATATCAACAGGTGTTTTCTACAAACAGGTTTTCTTTCAACTTACTGTTAAGATCAATTTCTGCGACTGCAGAGCCCTCAGTTATCTGTGTGTGTGTGTGTGTGTGTGTGTGTGTGTGTGTTACAGAAATTTGTAAAGGTAAAGCTTAAAGTTGCAAATTATGTTGAAAATTTGAACATTAAAATGATTAAAATGTGATTTTTTTCAATATCACTAATAACAGAAAAGTACAATATATATATATCCATTAAATAAATGTAACTTTTTTTTAGCCCTAAGCATCTTACTGTTTTGTTCTTGGATGTCAAAGTTCATACAGGTTTGAATGTAATGTCCTGTTTTTATCTTCGTTCACAGAATCAGCAAAATCTTCTTCTACCATTTTGTAAGAAACAAACATGATCTGTTTCATAGCTAACAAAACCACAGAGATCTAAAATCCTACAATGTGTTGCAAACGTCTCCGACACATTTCTCAGATGTTTTATTTAGTTGCTGATCAGCATGAGGATACTCCACCTCTGCCCGTGTACAGGCCACGATGTGTCATTTCTTTTAGTGTGAAAAGAAAGAAATTGTACAGTTTGGCCATAAATGTTTACATCCTGTCATAATTACAAGCATGAGCATCTCATCACAGGCAGATATACCCTTCAATCTCCACAGTGATGCGATTGGTGGGTAAAAAAACAAACAAAAAAAACAGGTTGGACCATGACAACACAGACGGAAAGCCTTACAGGCCAGATTAAAAAAAAAATGTTTCATTTCGGCTTCGCTTTTAATGAATATACTTGTACACAAAAATGAAGCATTTTGTACACTGAGATGGTGACAAATGAATTCTTTGAATTATATGAAGTGAAACTGATGTCGTACTTTGACTCTAGGTGGTGACAGAGAGCAAATTACCTTGGAGTTGTAGGTCTTCTCGATTTCCTCCTTGTAGAGGCGGACCTGCTCCTCGTGCTGGCCTCTAAGGTCAATCAGAGCCTCGGCGAGCTTGCTGTCGAACTCCTGCTGCCGCCCGCTGTCAATCTCCACCATGCGGGTCTCAAAGCGACGCTTGGAGTCACGCAGCTCCTGCAGACAGAGGCGACGGTGTAAGATACAAACACATGTAAACTCAGAGTGGCAGTTCCCATCCTTGTTTGCTTTTGTCACGCGACTTGTATGAATGATGCTCGAAAAAGACTGATCCGCACTGATGTTTGGTCCATGCACCATAAACGATAATACCACCACCAACTGTAAAAAAAAAAAAATCTGTCCTTGTCAATTAATGTAATTGTATTAATTAATTGGTTGCTGTGCACGAATTCTTTGTTCAGAGGGCCAACAGAAAACAAATCTCCAAGATATTCCTCATTTGGAAAAAGCACAAAATTGCCAACTTTGGGAAATGAACATTTCAGCTCTATTATGGCATCATTATATCTGCTCTTTCTGTGCAGACTTCTATCTGTTCTGCATTACTAGAAGGAGAAGAAACAGCTCTGAGACAGATCTGAAGGGAAACATGCAAAAACAACAAGTAGGTGGTTGGAAGCAAATCAATATCCTGTGGAAACGATGAAAAGTAGGACAGATTACTGAGACAGCTCTGTAAAAATAGAAGTGCTAAGGTGAAGAGCGGGAACCTCGTTGTAGATGTTCTTCTGGAACTCCAGCTCCTCCTTCAGGGTCTGCAGGCGGTTCTCGGCGTCCACTCTCCTCAGCATCTCATCCTGCAGCTGCCTCTTGGCATCAGCCAAGTTTACTTCCAACTGGAAAGGACACACGAAGAGAGAAACGAGATGAGAGAAATGATTTTTAGACGAAGCATGTAAGCACACAAAAAGAGATCTAATACAGAACAAGGTCCAATCTGTGCTGCTTAATCTGTGAGCCTCTCTTAAAGAAAAACCTTTAGTTCCTTGATTTGGCCAGTAGGTGGAGCAAGGCCACAACCTCAGGAGTAACGTTCATTGATAAAACAAATAGCAAAAGACGCAATTTTGTCTGTCTCGCCTCCACATCCTCATTCATAATCAGCTGCTGGAGGGTTTACATAAAATTACCAACTCCACTGGGGTATTTCTGCTTTGAGATCAGCACCACACAGACAGCCAAAGAGGCTCTGCACTCCTCTGACTGCTGTTCAGCTGATAAATAGCTTTAAACAATCCGTGCAGGTCTGCAGATATTAAAGAGCGACTCCTGCTTTATCGGTGCAAAATGGGCAGTAAATATCCAAGCAGCCTGCATGGACATCTCTCTTCCATTTGCAAATTTCAGGCTAAGCTTCAAACCGCAGTCTACTTCTTTGCCTATCAAATCGCAGCTCAAGGGGGCGGGACAGAACGCACATTGGTGTTTGTGGGATTTTCCCCATTTGAGACCACGAATAAACCACTTCTGAGAGGTACGCTAAACCACAGGACCACGAGGCTTTCACTGTCTTCCATTAATGTAGAGGGAACTTCTTTTACTCTGTTGCTTTAGCATCAAAGTAAAAGAAAAAAAAAAAAACTGAGCAGTAAATAACCAACAATTCAGACTCTATAAAATGAAATGTACTCGTCCTGCCCACGTTAACCATGTAAGACTTAAGTTTGGATAAAAATGTCTTTTACCTTCGCCAGCTGGGCCTTGAGGTCCTTCACCTCTGCCTCCAGGGTTCGCTTCTCCCCCAAGGCAGTGCTGAGGGCAGCATCTTTGGAGTTGAGCAGAGCTTCTAAGTCCCTCAACCTGACCAGAGCTGCCTCCAGGTCAGACTCCTTCTTGGTGTTCCTGTGACGATAAGGATGACAGGATGTAGTTTATAGATTTTTTTGGTACTTTATGTGTCGTTGTTATGTATTCTAACTGTGCTCATCATATCCCTGCTGATAAATGTAATTTTATTCCCCACAGACAAGCATTTTATCAGCCTTACTGAAGCACTGCAAGTGGCCGCATCCAGTACTGAAAAAAGAAGCTAATCAAAAATGCCAAAAACTGCAGTTCCGCTAACCACCACTTGAGGCTGGTCCTGAAAGTGAGTCGATCCCCACAGATTCTCATGTTGCAGAAATAAACACAAGTTAGCTCTCCATCCTCTCATCTAAACACTCACATTCGGTCTACAGCCTCTTATAATCTAAATCATTTTAAAAAGGTGCAGCTGTGTTAGAGGTGCTATATAAAACAAAGCTGCCTTGCCATCCATGGAACAGTTTTTGTAGGTGACCCAAGAAAAAAAGGAGAAATAAATAAGAGAACAAATATAAATGCTTTCTATAAATCAACTTTCACTTAGGCTATTGTCTGTATTTCAGTGGAGAAGGTGAAAGAAGGTCCTCACCACAAATCCTTCCATGTAACAGAAGGTCACAGGCATAACATTAAATCCAACATATTTTTTTATTAGGTCATTTATTTCTCTATGTATTTATTTAGCTGTCGACTGGTTTATTACCCTCCATCAGTCCATCAGTTAATGTATTTGGTAACTTGCAGTATAGATTTCCTGTTAGCTTCCATTCAGGTTAAAATCTACAAAGTTATAAAAGGAGAATCTGTTCTTTATCTGTGCCGAGCAATAAATAGCACCAAAGTACACGGCAGTGAGAGAAGCTGTGGATGACACGCTGTGCTGTTATTGGACTCCCAAACTACACATGAACTTCTCTCTGAGACAACCTGTGGCGTTTTTAGAGAACTCGTGTTTGTTCAGAGAATTGTGTGAGGGGGAAAAGTAAAAGAAATCTTGGAACTGCCTGTGGAAAAACTATATATTTCCAGCACAACGTGAAGACAGGGGACGGGTTGGACAGAGGCTCATGCACGACTGAGGAGGAAATGGGCTCCCTATTATTCTATTTGGCCCTGTGGGCCAGTCTTCATTGTCACTAATAATGACCATCTGCTGCAGGAGAAGGCTTCCAGCCTGCTCACACAGACCTCAGAGTCCTCTAGTCATGGACTGCAGGCTGCTAGGAAAGCCAGTGTATGGAGAAGCAGGCAAAAAGACACACAGATACCCCACAGCAGAGTGAACTGACGGATATAAACTCAAAAGCAAAAATGCGTTTATGACACAGCAATCAATATCCGTTACTGCTTTCAATAAAACCCAGGACTTCTTTTTAAGAGGATGAAAGCGAAACTTTGTTTTCCTGAAAAAAAAAGAGCCAAAACAAACAGCAGGCCAACCGAAAAAACATGCATCACAGGCAGAAAGCGGAAAACCGAAGCAGATTTAGGAAAAAAGAAAAAAAAGGAGCCTACAAGACTGATTATGTTCAGATTTAAAAATATTTTTTTAAAAAGGGAAAAAAAGAAGCAGGAGGAGGAGGAGGACAGGAGGAGGACCGGAGGAGGACAGGAGGAGGACCGGAGGAGGACAGGAGGAGGGCCGCCCAGTTTCTGATGGGCCCAAATCAAATCAGCGTCCTGGCTCGGCCTGCTCACAAACACAGACATACGCAGCTCAGGGAAGAAAGCAGAGACTGATTCACACGTGCTCTTTAAATAACACTCTGGGAAAAAAATAATCATCAAAATTCTGCATCACAACATTTTTTTTATTGTTGCTCATGAACACAGCATTTCATTCTTTATGAACAGCTGAGGAATCAAAGCAGATTTTTCACTGTTTTCAGATCTGTTGGTTTTTTGTTTTGTTTTTAATATTAATAAAGATATTATTGAACTGAAGTGCCTGATGTTCAGACCACACATCGCTTTCTATAAACATCACATATACTTGCTGGAGTTAAAAGCCTTGCTCATGGGCAGCTTATTCTGACGTGTCAGTCATCACAGAGCTCCGAGCTTCTCCCACTGGACAGATTAGTAACTCGTGTAAAAAGAGACGTGACAACTGCTATAAAAGGTCTTAATGGCTTATACTGTTGTGACTGTAATAACAATAATATAGCTTAACAACATGAGGAGGTGCCATGCTCCTCGAGGCTCATATACGTTTCTGGAAACTTATTTACTAAAGTCGCTGCTTTATGTTATTGTGGGATATTTTAAATTCACCGCAATGCTCATTAACATACCCAGTGCACGTCTATAAAAGAAAGAAAAATAACCCAAACATGGCTGTAATGAGAGAAGGAGACAATGAGAGGTGTGTTTTTCATTTCACTTATAAACTCATTTGTTTACAGCTGGAGATAAACATTACCAGAAAGTATGCAGCTCTTTGTCTGGATGTTAATATTTTCTCCAACGGACTGTTTTAACAGTGTGACTCTGCAGCAGACGTGTGTGTGTGTGTGTGTGTGTGTGTGTGTGTGTGTGTCTGCTGTGACATTCATTAAGGCTAATGGGCCCAGTGGATCAGCTTCAGCAGTGAATTAATGGATGGATGTGCCTCTACTGTATCAACAGGCTGCTTTGCAGTTTGTATTCTCCTCGCACATAAAAGAATAAGAAAAGCTTAGAGCTAAAAGACTTGCAGGCCGGGTGTTTGATATTGTGACTTTATACTATAACTAGATTATATATGAACTGGGGTGATTGTTAAGATGTTGGGTCACCCTGTGCAGCCAAGTTGTCACAAGTCTACTGAAAGTAGTGCTCTTGATTTGTTCTGGTTTTAATCCCTCGTAGACACAAATAAAAGCAGGTCAGTGCTGACAGCATCCAAGCCATGATGATTTTTTCCAGTTTGTTTTTGAGATCCTCAAAATCAAAAACTTCTTCCTTAATGTGAACAAATAATAAAAACAAAAATAATTTGACATAACAGATCCCAGGTCCCTGATATCTGTAAATGGCATTTAAATGTTGATATGAGTCAACAAAGCCAATAATGGCTCGGTATATTTATAAAACGCATTCAAATAAAATGTTTGATTAAAAGGAGAAAACAGACGTTACAGAAAAAGAAAGCATTTTTAAACTTTGTACAGTTTGACTACGTCCATCTCTCCTTCCAAAGAAAGGTTCTTTCTTGCAAACAGCTCAAATTCCTGACATTCACATTCCTTCAAGCAGACACTAAATAGGGCACAGCAGGGGGAAACTCAGGCGGTCACGAGCACGCTCCATCCATCATGTAACGTACGGGTCCGTGGCTTAACCTCTCAGGACCTTCCTATAAAAAGGGAGACCAGCACCAACACGGACACACATGTGGTGGTGTTGATGTTTTTATTATTACCACCCTCATTAGGTGTCCTTAATTCGTTTAGCGACTCCTCATACTGTATGGATGGAGGCATATACACCCAAACCAGGCCAAAAGGATTGTTTCTAATCAAAACAGTTCAAATGTATGTTCTTGATCACGGTTAAGTCTTGTTTGATTGTTATTGATTTAACGATGGCCCTATTTTGTCTCTGATAAGCTGACTACATGTGAATGCAGTGTCCTTTGACTTTCAGTCACATCCAGCCAAGGTGCTCAACCTAAGCTTTCAAAACGTGACCAATGGCTGATTTCACCGTGTCGCCATCTTTTATATACAGGCTGGAGATCAAAGTCTGCAGGCTGGATGTGGCAGAATGAATTTAATCCCATCTACTAGATAATCGAAAGATACCCCTCACAGGCTGAATGAAAATTTCTGCTGGTAGCACTCTGAAGCATTTCTGTACAGAAATTTCACAGTAATCCGATTGCTGCTGAGATACTTCAGTGTGAAGCAAAGTGGTGGAGTGAAAAAACATACAGACACTCACGAGAATCCCTAATGGCTTGGGAAAACCCACTTATTTAATTACTTTATAGCAGCTTCTGTACTGTGCAACGCTTTGAGGGACTAAACCAAAAACTCACAATAGGATCGCATTCAATAACGGTTTTATTAAATGAGTATTGTCAGTGGCTTTGAACAGGGAGGTGCAAAGGTGCACATTTGTCTGCGAAACTGCAACTACTACTAATTTACTCACATTTCTCTGAATGTAAAAACTTCGAGCACAATTTCAGCTTTAAATAGGCAAAAAAGGCACGCATGTGAGGTAAAGAACGTTTGAGCCGTTTGCACTCTAACTTCACTTCCTATTATATGAACAAAAGAAAAAGGAACTAAGTAATTATTTTACTATAAGTCAGGAACATTAAGACGCAGGATTAAATGGCACGACTGACTCATCCCGACTACAGTTATTATAGTCAAACTCTAATCTACGTATTACAATTAGATGAAGTTAAGTGAAACAAAGAAATATATAAATAAATAAAGTACATTAAATAAATAGAATGATTTTATGAACTACAAAAGGAAATTTTAGTTTTAGTCTTTGTTAGTTTTGCTAAATTTTTCAAAGCGACCTGTATAAGCAGGTTCTCATGGATTCATCCCTGCTTATAAATAATGATTTGAGTGCATTATAACATCAATTCTGAACTTTTTACATTTTGCATCTGCAGAAAAATGAAAACAATTCTATGTAGAATTTTTAAAAATGCCAAAATTTCCACTGACATGAATGAAAAGTACAACTAAAAACATTTTTAATGGTAAAAACTGAACTAAAATGAGAAAACCCATCTGGGAAATTAAGTAAAAAGAAACTGAAGTGAAAATAAAAATTGCAAATTAAATACACTCCAATAACTTTGCTCCTGGGAGGTAAGATTGGCACCTTGACTATAAGCAATTTTTTTAAACTGAGAAGTTCTGACACACAAAAATAAATGAAAATATTGCAAAAGCTATTTTTCCCCCTGATGTAATCACAAAATCAAAATCACAAACTGGAATCGGAAGATTACTGCATTACAAAACGCATCTCAACGATGTGCTTCTCTGACTGGGACATCTCCAGGATGCTGATCCTGGATGTCT